GTCTCAAAAAAAAATTTGTTTTAAAAATCAAAAAATTTGTAACCTAGGGGCAGTACCCGTTTCTCAGTGGGTAGGGCGCCGGCCACATATGAGGCTGGTGGGTTCAAACCTGGCCTGGGCCAGCTAAAACAACAATGACAACTACAACAAAAAAAAGCTGGGTGTTGCGGGTGCCTGGAGTCCTAGCTACTTAGGAGGCTGAGGCAAGAGAATTGCTTGCACCCAGGAGTTTGAGGTTGCTATGTGCTGTGACGCCATGGCACTCTACCCAGGGTGACAGCTTGAGACTGTCTCAAAAAAAAAAAAAAAAAAAGGTTTGTGTTCTAGGCCAGGCTTGGTAGCTCACACCTATAATCCTAGCACTATGGGAGACTGAGGAGGGTGGATTGCCCTGGGCTCACAGGTTTGAGACCAGCCTAAGCAAGAGTGAGACCCCATCTCTAAAAATAGCCAGGTGTAGAGGCAGCTGTGGTCCCAGCTACTCGGGAGGCTGAGGCAAGAGAGTCATTTGAGCCCAAGAATTGGAGGTTGCTGTGAGCTATGATGAGACAGCACTTTACCGAGGGTGACAAAATGAGACTGTCTCAAAAAAAAAAAGTTTGTCACTGGCTGGGCACAGTGGCTCATGCCTGTAATCCTAGCACACTGGGTGGCCAAGGTGAGGGATCACTTGAGTTTAGGAGTTAGAGAACAGCCTGAGCAAGAGTGAGGCTCCAGTACCCCTATCTCTACTAAAAACAGAAAAAAGAAGAAAAAAAACTAGCCAGGTGTTGTGGTGGGCACCTGTAGTTTCATCTCCTCGGGAGACTGAGACAAGAGGATTGCCTGAGCCCAGAAGTTTGAGGTTACTGTGAGCTATGATACCACAGCATTCTACCCTGGGGGACAGAGACTGTCTCAAAAAAAAAAGGTTGCGACTTGCCTAAGGTTGCCTAACTCTTTTCTACCACCCTCAGAGCTATACCAGGGATGGGGGGCGGGGCGGGGAGTGTGGCTTCCAGGTTGGCCAATTGAAATGGGGCTAGCAAGGTGGTCTTCTTTTCTCTCTCTTTCAGATGTGGCTGGGCAGGTGCCCCTGGGGCCCCACCTCCAGGACCTCTTCACTGGCCGTCGTTTCTCCCGGCCTGTGCGCCAGGGCTCCGTGGAGCCTGAGAGCGATTGCTCGCAGACCGTGTCTCCAGACACCCTGTGCTCTAGTCTGTGCAGCCTGGAGGATGGGTTGCTGGGCTCTCCAGCCCGGCTGGGTGATGAGCTGCTTCTTGCCAAACTGCCCCCCGGCCGGGAAAGTGCCTTCCGCAGCCTGGGCCCATTGGAGGCCCAGGACTCACTCTACAACTCACCCCTCACGGAGTCCTGCCTTTCTCCCGCTGAGGAGGAGCCAGCTCCCTATAAGGACTGCCAGCCACTCTGCCCACCACCAATGGGCAGCTGGGAACAGCATCGACAAGCCTCTGATGTGGCCTCTTCTGGGGTGGTGTCCTTAGATGAGGATGAGGCAGAGCCAGAGGAACAGTGACTCAAGTCATGCCTAGTGGTGGCATGTGTCCCCTGGCCGCTGCTAGGGGCAAGAGCCTCTGTGCCCAAGTGTAGGCTCAAGGCTCCCAGCAGAGCTCCACTGCCTAAAGGGCTCCTGGGAGCACTCACTTCTCCGTTGTGTGTTTTGCATGAAAGTGTTTGGAGAGGAGGCAGGGGCTGGGCTGGGGGCGCATGTCCTGCCCCCACTTCTGGGGTTTGCTGGGGGTTGCCCGGGGCCCCTGGGGCATGGCTACAGCTGTGGCAGATGGTGATGTTCATGTTCTTAAATCAAAAACTCCACACACACATTTCCTCCTTGGATGATGTGAACCCCTGAGAGGGTTGTTATGACTGGGCCGTGTGTGGGTACGGTGGGAGGGGGCCTGGCCACCTCCCCATCCTCCCCATCCTCCCCATCCTCCCCATGCCTCTCTGTTCTCTGCTTTTCTCCTCTACTTTGAGTCCATATACAGTGCTTGATAGAATCACTCCCATGCTGGGGGCTGGCTCCTGTCCTCCTGGAGCCTACAATGGAGCTGTCCCCCAAGGGCCCCTTGCCCATCTGGGCTCGTGCTGTGCTTCACCTCTCCATTGTCTCTAAATCTTTTTTTTCCTAAAGACAGAGGATTTTTTGGTCTGTTCTTTCAGTCGGATCTTCTCTGGGAGGCTTTGGAATAATGAAAGCATGTACCTTCACTCCTGTGATGGTCCCCCAGTGGGACCTGGGCCCTTTCCCAGCCCCTCCTAGGATGTGTGGGCAGCTCCCTAGTGGTTCTGGACAGCTACCCTGACCCACTAAGACAGTTCTGTTTAGAGTGGAGTTGGAAGGTTGGCTCTGGTTGCTACAGAGCTGACTTCCATGTTCTTCCAGCGAGGGCCACAAGGGGGCCACAGGGTGGCGGGCACTTGTCAGCTGATGCCTTCCAAGGGCTGCAATCGTGCCAATGAGTGACATTCCTAAGGGAGTGTCTCCCTTTGGGGAGGAAACAGAGTAGTGCCTTTCTGGGCTGAATGAAAGGCCAAAGCTACAGTACTTGGGGCTCCTGCCCCAGCCAGGGTGTTAATGACCAAGCATTGGAGGTCTCTGGCATTCCAAGGACTCTAGATTTTTATGGCTGTCAAGAGTTGGGGTGGCTGGAGAATTAGGGGCCTTGTAAGCTTCATCAGGTAAGAGGGCCCAAGGTAAGAACAAGAGCCAGTGGCACACGTGTTGTATATATAAGTGGCTCATTAGGTGTTTATTTTGTTCTATTTAAGAATTTGTTTTATTAAATTAATATAAAAATCTTTGTAAATCTCTATATACATCTGGTCATTGGAGGTTCCAGTATAAATCCATCTTAGTTCTACCCCTTTCCCCTCAAAGGGAAAGCAGGGGCCCACCCCCATCCTGCCAAAGCAGTGCTGATTTTCCTGCCCTTGGAAAACTTGCTGTAGGTGGGCAATGGGTCAGATTCCAGGTAGGATGAACTGGGAGAAGCTAGCACCCCAGGTCTGGAAGGGGGTGCTGGGCTCCAGCCTCTGGCTGCAGCAGCCACCTGCCTTCCCAAGGCAAAAGGAATATGAGATTTGGAGGCTCTGGACAGACAGGCATGGCTGCCACCATCCTAGGTCACCCATTGAGGGGTTCATTGGCACTTGTCATCACTGTCAGAAGGGCTGCCCTCCCGGGGGAGGCCATGGCGGGAGCGGGGTCCCCAGAGTGCATGCACCTCTGTGGTCTCTGTGTCACTGCTGCTGGTGGCACTGTCTCGGAAGCTGGCGAGAGGTGGCCGGACTTTCACGCCCTGTGCTGTGACAGAGCCCTCAATGGCCTTCCGGAGCTGGAAAGGTGACAGGGTCAGATGTCTGGACTCAGCTTCCTGCTCAGACACCTCCCCAGCATTTCCCCCAGGGAAGCTGGACAATGAGCTTCCATGTCTTCTCTTGAAGTAGCTTTGGTGGCCACTATCACCTTACCTCCTTTAGGGTGACAATTCCAATGAGTCTGCCAATACTGGTGACATAAGCATGGTCTACTCCCAGCAGTGAGAAAATGGTGTGAGTCTGCAGGGTGGGGAGAAAACAGATTGGACCTGATCTGTGAAGGGACAGTTCTAAACAATAGGCCACAGGGACCCAGGACAAGGTCAGGGGCTGGAATGGAAAGGGTGCTACAGATGGAGAGGAAGGGGACAGGATTGCTAGAGGGAAAATAATAATGGGGGCAGTGCCCGTGGCTCTGAGTAGGGCGCTGGCCCCATAAACCGAGGGTGGCAGGTTCAAACCCGGTGCTGGCCGAACTGCAACAAAAAATAGCCAGGCGTTGTGGCGGGCGCCTGTAGTCCCAGCTACTTGGGAGGCTGAGGCAAGAGAATTGCCTAAGCCCAAGAGCTGGAGCTTGCTGTGAGCTGTGATGCCACGGTACTCTACCAAGGGTGACACAGTGAGACTCCGTCTTAAAAAAAAAAGTTCAGAAATTGTCAGCCAGTTCCCCTTGTACTGTAAGTAGATTTTCTTGGGCCAGATGTCTTGAAAAACACTCTCCTGACTCAGCAGTTCCTAGAATTTTTGGCCTATCATTTATCTCGCTGTTCTGAGTTTACTTGCAAGTCTTTTGGCTTAATGTTTGAATCAAGAAGGGGAGTAGTAACACTCATTTAAGTTGTCTTAATACTTTTAAATGTTTTCTTATGCATTTGCAATTCTTTCAGAAGGGACTTCCAAAACTCTCCTTTTTCCAAGGCAGGACAGTACTTATAAAAAGCGCCAATAAGTTCAACACCTATAACGTAATTGTCATGTGGTTAGCAAGTTCCTTCTTATATCTAACTTGAATCCTACATGCTACAAGTTAGCTTTATTTTCTTCATCTGACTTCTTTTTTTGAGACAGTCTCACTAAGTCGACCTTGGTAGAGTGCTGTCATGTCACAGCTCACAGCAACCTCAAACTCTTGGGCTTAAGCGATTCTCTTGCCTCAGCCTCCCAAGTAGCTGGGACTACAG